TGCTGTCGTTTGCCAACCGTGGCCGTGGGAAGGGCAGCTGTCCCCAGCTGCACATAGTGCTGGCCCCCCGCAAGGAGGAGCTGGCACGTTGGGGGTGTAGCCCCCGGGGGAACCGACATTGCCAGGTGCCACTGGGCGCTGGCGACCTCAGGAGCAGGCCTAAGCCACCAACCCCGCTTCCTAATGACCGCCGGACGACGTCAGGTTCCCCACGATGGCGCCAGGCCCAAGCCGGAGGCGGCCAGAAGCGCCATGTCCCCCAAACCCCCACAGCGCAGCGTAGGCACGGGAAGTAGGGGCTGGGGGGCCTGCTGCACCCCTCAGCTTTGCACCCAGCGTGCCCCCTCGCCAGGGTCCCAGCCCACACCCCGGAGCCCGCTGTTACCCAACATCTGGGGGCCAGCCCCTCACCCAGGGTCCCAAACACCGGCCCTCGGGTCCTGGGGGCCTGCCCCCCTGCCATCACCTCAGTCCTGGCTGTTGTGACCCAGCCTGGGGTGGTGAGGGGCACAGCTCAGCACCCCCATCCTAAAACTTGTTCCGGCGAAACTGTTCCTTGCGAGAGAGCCGAGCTCGGGGGAGGGCGGCTGCCCACGGCCAACCAGGCGAGCTGCTGGGGCCACGCCGGCGCTGGGCTCACGCATGGGGGGCACCCAGTCTGGGGGGGCATCACCCCGACTTCCTAGCCCTGCACCGAGCTATGGAATTGCGGGGTGACGCTTCCGGGCCCCCAGGACTCCAGGGGCACCATGTCTATTCTGCACCGGGGTGGGTTGGAACTGCAGACCTCCGACTGAAAGGCTGAATGATTTCCCACGCCCGGTGCCCTGGGCCCCCCGGTCCTTCCCCTGCAAGCCCAGCCCCTTCCCATTGCTCTTGTGCAAAAGCCACTGTCGTTGTCAAACAAGCCATGGCCACACCAAGGCAGGAGCAGGCCACTGGGGAGTGTCTCAGGGCCAGAGCCATGGAGGAGAGGAGCCACCGTAGCCCCTGGCGATGGAGCTAGAATAAGACCAGCTCGTGCTTTCAGCTCCGGCTGTCCCCGGTGCCCAGGCCCGAGACACATGGCTGGGACACCTGCCCAGGCGCATTAGCCCTCAGCCCCACGTTCTAAACGCTGCATGGCCTTTGCCTTGTAGACCCTGATATCGACCCTTCCTGGTACACGGGGCGTGGGATCAGACCCGTGGGCCGGTTCGGCCGGAGGAGGGCGGTCGTGGAAGGCTCCCGGAAGGCGGGCTACGGACACCGGCAAACGTGCGTGCCGCTGGAAGAGAGCAGCGAGTCCGTTCAAGATGAATGAAACCGCTAAGGGCCACAATGAATGTGAGCAATGACAATAAAAGACCCTTCGCCTCCCTGCCCTTCAGCCTCTTCCCAGCACGTGAAAATGTTTGGTCTGTTCTCCATGTATCTTTGTGGCTATAAATGATAGGAACCAAAGAGCAGTTAGTAACACCCACATTTTTGCAGACATTTCCCCTCTTCCCCCCCCCACCCCTCTTGTTCCCCATTTCTCCCCCTTTTCTGGCTTTTGCTCTCAGTCGAAGGTGGTTCGCACTGGGGGAGGGGGAGAAGAAATACAAATTCCCATGGTAATCGTCTGACAACGTGGGCTCTTTTATACAGATCAGAATAATAAAACCATGGAAAACCCTCGCTCTGCAGGTGTCTGCCGTGCTGTTCAAGGACTCCAACGTGTCTTCCTGCTGGGGCGTAGGATCCTTGGAGCGTTTCTTTCCCCGGAGGTTGCGTCGCGTTTCCTGCACCATTTCTCCTCCGCACAAGGAAGTGTTTTGAGCGGCTCCCCAGACTAAGTAGCCATCTTTTCACTCTGGGATCCGGACGCCCTCTGAAAACAGGGGGGCCAAGGTGCCGTGCTGTTCAAGGACTCCAACGTGTCTTCCTGCTGGGGCGTAGGATCCTTGGAGCGTTTCTTTCCCCGGAGGTTGCGTCGCGTTTCCTGCACCATTTCTCCTCCGCACAAGGAAGTGTTTTGAGCGGCTCCCCAGACTAAGTAGCCATCTTTTCACTCTGGGATCCGGACGCCCTCTGAAAACAGGGGGGCCAAGGCCGGCCCTACTCCCGACACCCGTGTCATGCCAACAGGAGTAACACACTAGCCAAGACGACCTCTGCCGCAGGCCCCACGCCTCCGGCTGGCAGACATCTTGCCACGGTGTCAGGGGAGCCGACAGCCTGGCCGGGCCCCTGGGTAAAGGAGGAGGGGCCCAACC